ATGCAAGTCTATTCCATACAGTAACTCAATGGATGTCCTTGTTTTTAAGCTTTTGATTTTAAACAAGGCTGAAAATAGCTTTCTTTTCTCATTTGATTCATGATATATGAACATAAATGAGTTGAACAATGCAAGAAAACAAGAACAGCCTAGCTTATATCAATACAATCAACCATGAATCACTTTCTTTGCCTTTCTTCCCCATTGCATGCAAACACTGACAATTATAACTCCTTCCTATCCTTGTGAACACTTTTTAGTTTTGACTATTGCAGTGTGGAATGCTTTGTAAAGTTTTGGAATGTTCACTTCTCCAATGAAGGATATTTACAAACATGCAGCCATTCATCAGTGTACATGTTAACTAACATGTCAATCATGCTGTTGTTATTTTCGGAATGGAAGTTGCCATTGTCTTGAAAACTGAAATAATCCTAGACTCGGGCCAATTGGGGAAAAGGTTAGTTAGGAAGTAAGAGGAGCAGGGGTCTGCTGTCATTTTGGTATTCACAGGTGATACATCATTCTCAGGGGAGTCACAAAACTTTCTCACCAGAGATGACAAAATGTGCAGCTTTGCTCCATGGAGTACCCTATGGAGTTCCCCTAAAAATCATGTATTGGTTTATTAAAATAATTTATAAACATGGTAAATCATTTGATGTACATTGATGGAGATGTATATAGATGTAGGTGTTTAGATGGCAGCTCTCTGATTGTCACTGTTTGATACAGTCCAGTTTCCGGGGACAGGGGGCTCTCAGTCTTACTAGTTCCTCCACTTTGGTTTTACTACTATGTAATGAGTCCTTTGACGAGAAGATAAAAAACTGGGTGTGATGCACAAAACCCACTGTTTTGAGTTCTGCATGAGGTAAAATATTTAAGCTTCCTGCATTCTCCAAATCAACGGCCCCAATTGCAGTTATTTGCTGACCCATCCCTGTTTTTTTTTTGTTTGTTTACAATTATCTCAATTTTGTTACAGCACTGCAAATAGATAAGTGAAGAGAAGCTCAGGTTAAATACATGGATTACTCTTTTGAAGTCTTATTGGTAATCTATTACCATAAGCTTGTATCCTCATCACTTTACACAATCAGGAAACCCTTCAGCCCTTTAGGTAATAGATTGAACTAATTCACACCTCTTAGAGACACCATACATGAACAGGTATTTTGACAGATGTAAAACCTGCCGCCAAATGAAGGATATGCGTACTTTTGGCCTCTTGAAGATCATAATCAGCCTATTAAAGAAAACGTCCATGGATTACATTTA